TTAAAGCAGCATTAGTTTAGGGCAGTGGATCAAGCTGTCATCACAACATTGACATATTACCGCTGTTTTGGCAAACTTGTTAGCAAACATTTGCCTATTCACACATTCAGTCATGTTTCTGGCCAGGACAGCAGGCCTCACAGCAAAAAGATTCTGAGCAGGGCTCAACAATAAGGATTGTCCAGGAATGTAACGTCAGGCTAGTAAACCTAATCACATGCCAGTCAAGCGGTAAAAAGCAACAAGACATCGTTTTTGCCGGAGGTGAGAGTGAGCCTTCTCGCTTCCTTCTCATCTCTGTTGAGAATTGCACATGCCCAGTACCGATCGGGCACTCTGAGAAAATGGCAGCAGGTAAAGACAAAGTTTATGAGCTAAAGCGAAAGTGAGCATTTGATCTATCCTGGAAACAAGTTGGGTGGCTTTAGAGGATGTGGGCGAAACTATTTGTTGTGGGCGCTTTTCTTTTGTTATTTGAGATTCAGTTCGGGTGGCTTCTCAACTGATTATTGAATCATTAAAGTCTAGGGGGCAGCCCTAGTCTACACATATGTAAATCTGAGCTAAATTATACAGTGTAATGTTCACTAGTTGCTAACTTTCTCTGTTTGCCGTTGGTGGAAGCGTACAGTGGGATTTTGGAGCTTTATTTGATGAAAAACAGCTGTCGGCTGCTGCTGCTGCAGACAGTGCGCAGATGAGATCTATGAGACAAATTATAAGTCAAGTTATGGGCTATAAAACCAAAACAATTCACTGAAAGAAGCTAAAACCGCAGAGCTGGGTGATAACACTCAATTTGATTATCACTATTAACCTCTGTCAAAAAACACAGAACTATTTGATTAATAGTTAATATAAAAATATCACTTTCATGTTGCAGTCCAGCAGGCTTGTGTGTCTGTTACATACAACCTTCTGTACTTTGACTTAAGTGCTGTCCACAACGAATAGTGTTCTTAATTTGGAGCTGCTATAATTTTATCACTTGCACCTGCCTGGAATACTAATACAGGAATGCTCAAGGAGGTTTAACGTTACTTTATGGCACTACCCAGAAAGAATACATCAGTAGTTTTTTTTTACTTGCTTCCTTAATCCTTCATAACATGGTGCAACTTTTTTATCAGTTTTAGATTTGTTGGTGTAACTTGTGTAAATGTTCATTATTTATGATTCTGTGGCGATCACAAACAAAACTGTTGCAGGACCAAAGACGACGCTGTGGTGGGAAACGTTCTGGTTTAGACAAGACAACTACAACAGTAAAAGTATGATCATAGGTTCACTGATAGTGTATTGGATTTGTTATCTATAGTAATAGTTAATTTTATGTTTCCTATTTCCACTTTTACAAATGAATGATAATGCAGCTTCTGTCTGTAAAAGTAATGTACCTGCGTAGGTTGCGTTTTTCTTTTCTTCTTTTGTTAAAATGATGAATCCAATTTCCAAGTCTAAAAAGGAGTTCTTTGATTTTCACTGTAGCTATAAATTTTATAATAATTTTCCTTCTGCTCAGGTTGTCCACTTCAAACAATGATAAATTGTGCACACAATATGGTGTGTGATTTGTTTAGTGCTTCTGCATGAAACATCTTTTGTCCTTCAAAACTTTTGGTAAGAAGAATGTAAAGTGTTTTTTTTCTTTTAAAGCAGGCTGCCAGATTTATTTTAAAATGCTCGCTTGTCGGGTTTTCAATGACTTAGATAAATCTGCCGCAGGTTTCACCTGTCAAAGCTGGACCAGAAGGGTGCTGTTCAGTGTTATCAGAAGGGTTGAAAGTACACTCTAGGGTTAGAATGTCAGCTGTACGAAACAATGCAGAGTGCAGCCAAAGACAATCAGGAAATAAAAGCTCACAAACTATCAGCACACAGGCAAATGGACTTATTGACCACAGTGTGTTGTCAGTGGTGCTCAGAAAGCTCTCAGTCCTGCCATGGCTAGACAGTCTCGTCTGAGGTTTATCCCTAATGGGGTTTGTTTTATATGGCTACTGAATGCTTCTGGGCTGGATGCTTTGATGCTTCACTCAGGTTTTCCCATCCTGCCACACCCACTGACTGCTGGGGCCTGGCCTGCTTTTTATGCTAATACCTCATGTTGTATAACTAAGAGTGAATTTGGCTCCCTGGCTCAAATCTGCACAAGTGTGTGTGCAGTGACAGTTTAGAGCAGCTCTTATTAAATAAGTATGCTTGTTGTCATTGCCGTGGCAGACGTGTAGACACAGAACAGACACAGTTGGTGTTGCACGTCTCAAGTTCAATAACCTCTCAGTATGGTTGGCATTGTGTTGTTGCTGTGGCCGCTGGGTTAGAAGGGGGGTGTGGACCTCTGGGGCATGAATACTGCAAAGCTTGACGTCCTCTAGTGTTCATTTTGAAAAAGTGCATTTCGGTCGACTGGGTCTGGAAACATTTGCGTTTCAATCAAAGGAAGGAGGTCCTTTTTATGATAACCACTGCATTTGAGATGTGACCACACATCTTCAGATAATTTAGGCTTTAAAGGCCCCATTGGACTCACTGATGATGGGATGGAACAAAGGCAAAATTGAGGAAAAAACAAGTACAAGGAACAAATTGACATTGATGGGAATTATGTGTTGTATCTGTGTAATTTGTTTATTTAAAGTTCTAGTACAGAGTTGTAAATATTAACTCCAGCTGAACTCTCAAACCTGACCGAATGCTTTCAGGAGTAGAGCAAGCAATATGTAGGGCAAACTGTGGATTGTGGATTTTTCTTGTAAACAAAAGTAATGTTTACATTTGGTGTTTCACAACAGACATACTTTGTGTGTATCCTTGAGGTCTAACTAACATGATGAATGCATTTCCTTCCTCCTAAAACATGTACAAAGCGGATTTTCCCAAAGGTTTTGAAAGCCTTATTATTTACATCCATGTTTACTAGCAAGCAGTTTTTTTGCATTGCTGCGTGTATATATATATTCACCTGTCCACCAAACCTACCTAATCTCTCCCACCCACCTCCCTCTCTGACTCATAGGTCTTCTTCTTCTATTATCCTCACTGTACCTCCTGGGTCCTGTTTCAGAAAGTGGGTTTAGTGAAAACTCTGAGTAAGTTGAGCCCGAGATGAGGGAAACTCTGGGTTTTCGGTTTCAGAGAGCAAGATCAGATAAGCTCTAGGTCTGTAACCCCGGCAACTTACGCTGTGAACCTAACCTGCTCGGGAGGTTTACTTCAACAAACGCTGAGTTTCTCTCTGACTCCTCCCCTCCTGCGGAGCTTGAAGCGGCTGTCTCACACACAGTGTCATTTCCTCAATTATACTGTCGATATCAAAGCACATATTGGAACGCAATTACGTCTTTGGAAACATCGAAATCACGGTTAAATAGGCTATTCGTTTTTTTTTTAACCCAAACATGATCTTGAACATCTGTCATCGATGTATGGAAAGAGAGTTGGACATCGTAAATTTATCCTCAGCACAGAATAAAATCTATAAGCTACACTGTCCTTCTTTATGACACAGTGACTCTGTGGACATTAAGGCAAAAAACTTACTGTGCGCTACAGTGCTGCAGTTTAAAGTTGGCTAATCTGTACAAAACTGATCAATGAACAGTAACCTTTCACATTGTAGTCGCACAGATCGAACATTGCTCAGCTGGATATGATGTGAATGTTTCTGAGTGAGGATGACTGTGGTCCAGCTGAAACAAATAAATGTAGCCTAGTTTAAAAGTGAGTTTTTTATTATCTGCTGATAGTCTGAATGTGTTTTGACAGCATTTCATAAAATACGAAATGAGCAAGATTTTATTAATGTAACAAAGACATCTAAAACTTCACAGTCAGTTTGAACCTAGACACATTTTACATTACAAAAAAAAACATTAATAGACCTACTGTCACTGAGACGGACTGTCACTTTACAATCACAGGTCCATGAGGAGCCTAAACTGTTTCTAATCTCTTCGATTAATATTTTCATCTTCAGTTTTTGCCACCAGCATTTAGTCCTGTTAGGTTACAGCTGAATAAACAGGCCTGTAGCCTATTTAAAATGAATAACAGGCTGTAGGATAATCCCAGCACTTCATCATTCATTAAGGAAATTCCAGTCTGGAAATAATGAATGAGCAACGCTGTATAAAATGTAATATTGTTAACGTATCGATCCTCCACTCCTACGTTAGAGCCAATCATCGTCCGTGTTGGCAACATTCATATTTCTAGCTCCACATGATTAAAATGGAGGCTCTGCCTTTATTTACCTGTTGCCATGGTGAATCGTAGTATCGGAGCTCCATTGATGATGGTTTTTTTTCATCCCCACGCACGCGCTTCCATCAGGCTCAACATACTCAGAGTTGATTGAACTTATTCTGATCGGCCTTTCTGAAATGGGAAAACTCTGAGTTTGACAGCTCAGAGTTCGTCAACCCAGCGTACAGGGTTACATTCAGAGTTTGTTGAACCTGCTTTCTGAAACAGGGCCCTGCTCGTTTGACCACCATGGGGTCCAGAGCCTTCAGCCGCGCTGCCCCTCGTCTCTGGAACTCGTCTCTTCCACCAGACATCTGCAACATTGACTCACTTTCCATTTTTAAATCCCGCCTGAAAACACATCTTTTTAAACTGGCATATCCCACGTGATCACTCTTTCTCACTCTTCGTTTCCAGTTGTTATGTACCCTGATTTTATGCACTGTAATTATAGTTGTTAATCTTATCGATTATTGCTGTACTGTTATGTTTTGTGAGGTGACCTTGAGTGTTCAGAAAGGCGCCTATAAATAAAATGTATTATTATTATTATTATATTAGCATTACCGTCACCTGTAGATCAGTGGAATAGTGTATTGACAGGAATGTGTATTGTGTGCACGTGTGTTGGGGATCCACGCATAGAAAAACAGCTCCATAGCACTACTAGAGGTTAAAAACACAACAACAAAAACCAGGGACCTTTTAAGAGAGACTGACATTTCTCTGCTCTGTCTCCACCCTCTCTCCAGTGCCATCTCCAGACAGGAAGGGGTCACCGCTACATCGTCAGCACAGGGAAAGAGCGGGACTCATAAAATTTGCCTGGTGTGCTCTGATGAGGCGTCAGGCTGCCACTACGGCGTTCTCACCTGTGGCAGCTGCAAGGTGTTTTTTAAGAGAGCAGTGGAAGGTACAAAGCCATAAGACATCATTATTTCCTCACTGATTTATTCATCGCCTGTGATAAACTCATTCATCACCTATCTGTGTCACATAAGTTTGCTCAAATGCTAGACTCATTACAACTTTAAGTTGGTGGCATGATCATTACAAAGTAAAGTAATGTGATACAACTAATTAGTTTCTCCCCCTAGAGTGTTTGCCACAGCAGTGAAGGTAAATAACAGATTAATCTTCCTCTTCTTTGTACCTCAGGGCAGCATAATTACCTGTGTGCTGGGAGGAATGACTGCATAATTGACAAGATCAGGAGGAAGAACTGCCCAGCCTGCCGTTTCCGCAAGTGTCTAATGGCAGGCATGAACCTGGAAGGTACATATTAACCACACGGATAACAGAAAACTGTGTAGCCTTGAGTTGGTTTAATTGCTTCGTTCTCCTCTTCACCTTTTGTCTCGATTTCCCTTAACTCTCCTCTGCGTGTTCATCCCTGTTTTCTCTTCTGCAGCGCGCAAAACCAAGAAGTTGAACCGCCTAAAGGGCGTCCTGCCGAGCAACCCACCCGAACCGACTCCTTCCCCGCCAGTTGAGGCTCGGTCCCTTGTACCCAAGTGCATGCCTCAGCTTGTCCCCACGATGCTGTCCCTGCTGAAGGCCATCGAGCCAGACACCATCTATGCCGGCTACGACAGCACCCTGCCCGACACCTCCACCCGCCTCATGACCACCCTCAACAGGCTGGGCGGCCGGCAGGTCATCTCTGCTGTCAAGTGGGCAAAGGCTCTGCCAGGTTGGTAGTGTAAATCTGTCTTTTGCTGTGGATGTAGTTTACATTGAGGTTAATCTGCAGCTGCATGAAGTTTCAAAAGAAAACAGTTTTATTTTATTATTTATATTTCACTTTTTTTAACATTCAACACAGATATGCCATATTGCCATTGGTCTTCTCTGTCTGTAATGACATCTATGTACATTTAAACTAAAAGAAAAGGGCGAGTTTAAATTGTGTGACACCGCACACAACGCAAAATGCAGACAGTATTTGCAATCACATTTTATTTTAACAGCGCACAGATTGGAAGCATGAACATTTGACAAGGGTTAGCCAAAAGCAGGAGATGTCTTAATGGATTGTAATATTCTCTGCTTTGGTTTGTGTAAACAAACTCACTGGCACTGTATCTTGATCTGCTCCATCTGGGGCTAACATGACACGTAGGCAAATCTAAATTACTTACTGTGTTTGTATGTTTTTTATTTGGTTACTCCTCATTGTCACTTTCAGCGGCACACCCTCTTGTACGTTGTGGTTGCATTGGTAGTTGAAGTATTTCCGTCTCTTTCCCTACAGGTTTCAGGAACTTGCACCTGGACGACCAGATGACTCTGCTGCAGTGCTCCTGGCTCTTCCTCATGTCTTTTGGTCTGGGCTGGAGGTCTTACCAGCAGTGCAACGGCAACATGCTCTGCTTTGCACCAGACCTCGTCATCAACGAGTATGTACAAGTCCATTGTCAATCTGTGTAAACATCTAACCCTTGTTGTTTAATTTGTTAACAAAGTAGTGTGACACTAATGTGTGATTATTAAGTATGGTTTTAATTCCATCAGTCAGCCAATGCATATATTTGTTTATGTCGATCAGTGCAGGGTGTGTGTGTGTGTGTGTGTGTGTGTGTGTGTGTACCTCATCAAACAGTGTCTGTCAGCTGTAATCAGTGTTTTATCCTCCTTATAGACTGAATGACTCTGTTTGTAAACAGCGCTCTGAGTGTAGTGAGCATTCAGCACAGCTACCATGCTTAGTGCTGGAATTGGCCTTTTGCTTCATAATCACAAGCTCTAAATTAATCTGATCATAATTAATATCTGGTGATATTATTTGTCAGACAACCTCCAAAGAATCATTTTGTCAGCTTGTTATATTTGCATTTGATTATGGCAGCCATTATTCAGTGTTTAGAATTCAACAATTTAATTTTTAAGGTGGTTTTTATTATATAATGACCAAGAATGTGACGTGTTTTGTCATGTTTAAATAAATTTTCGATTCACGTCTGCTCAACAAAGAGGCATGAAGGAGTCCTAGGGGTACGGTTCAGGAGTTTTTGCCCTCACTCGTTTGAAATATGCATTCTCAGCCTTCTACTCCAACAAACAAATAGACTGAATGTCATGTCTGGAAGAATGATTTAAAATAGGAGACCTTGAACATTTAATCTACTGAGGTATTGCTGGGAGTGGATTCATCTACCTGATTGAGACTGCACAAGCAGCCCCATAAATCAACTATCACTGGGGGAGAAACAAGAATGTGTTTCTGTCTGAATCCACCAGGGACGGATGAAGCTGCCCTACATGGCCGACCAGTGTGAGCAGATGCTGAAGATTTCCAGCGAGTTTGTCCGGCTGCAGGTTTCCCACGACGAGTATTTGTGCATGAAGGTCCTGCTGCTGCTCAGCACAGGTCAGAAAGCTGAACCACCCCGCACACCACCTTCCTCTATTACACGTCAAACCTGGTGTTAAGGCAGTCATTGCCAAAATACTTTACTCCAATCCAATGCAGTCCACGGATGCTGAAAGATAATGTTGATGTATGCGCTGGGCAAAACATCAGATCACAGCACTTTCCCAACTCATTTATTAACATGCAATGTAAATAATTGAATCTTCACAGATAAATCATTGATCCACAAAAATACCCACACTCACTTTCACCAGCCAGAGCACTTACGAGAAGATGCAGAAGTACACAAGTTTTTGTTGTTTCCTAAAGGTGATTTAGTGCAGGAGAATGAAAGGTGTAAACAAAGACTTCAATTATAGTGAAGCTGATTAAAAATACATTTAAAATCATTATGGCAGGTAGCTTAAACACAGCCTAAAGTCAACACAGCCCTCCTCATGATGTGCTGGTGGATGTCCAGTTAGTGCTTTGTGCTGCTAAATATTATTGGGAGTACACCCTGAAAATGACCTGTGATATTAATTAGTTTTAGCCCTTCACAGCACGGACATAATTTAAAATGCAAAGAACGTCCCTCCTCCTTTTTAAACCTGGAAGTTTTGTGTCAGTGTGTATTGGTACAAATGACTCCTCTCGGGTACCGTACATTATCCTTATCTCTGTCCCAGAGGTTGACCTTTAGTTTCCTCTCTCCTGCAGTGCCAAAGGATGGCCTGAAGAGCCAGGCGGTGTTCGACGATATCCGGATGTCGTACATTAAGGAGCTGGGGAAAGCCATCGTGAAGCGCGAGGAGAACTCCAGCCAGAACTGGCAGCGTTTCTATCAGCTCACCAAGTTGCTCGACTCCATGCATGAGGTACAGAGGCAAAATGCATGTTATCAGGTTATTGACTTCCTGCAGTCTGCAGCTTTCTTAATCCTTAAACAGTGATTCACTGCCTGTGACTGATTAATCAGCTAGTTTAAAGCATTGACGTGGTTCAAGTAGAATTTTTCCCCAATAATTAAGTTATTTTGATTTGCAGTATTGATAAGGTTGTGATAAATGGAATCGTAACCACTCAGCCATCTGCTTATTTTGTGAAAGCAGGCCTTCGTTAATACAGAATATTTTTCTTTACATGAAACATCAATGACTGATTATCTCAAACACGTGTGATGTTTCATCTACAGCAGCATTTAGGTGACGAAACGTAAGAGTTATACAAAGACAAAAAAAGTTCTGTATGCTATCATATCTGAACTAACTAGAATGCAATGTGTTTGTCTGTCTATCATCGTCTCATTAATAGGGTTGAGTTTTGTTTGGATTTTTTTACGATTTCAGTGCCAAATCGACCATTTTAAAACTGTTCTGGTGCCTGAACGGATACTTCAAAAGAAGGGGAGAAAGCTTTTTTTAATCATTTTTTTAATATTTAAAATTCTTTAATTGAACAATATATTAACTGTTTAAAGTATACTTAAATATAATATATACAAAACACAACTGTTGTATTTGGCCAAGGCAGAAAGGGCTGTTGATTGTCATTACTGTTTTCTCCAGTATTTCAGGAGGTCATTGAATGTGTCATGCCTGTCAGCAAATGTGTTTAAGTGTAGAAGCCTGTCAATCATTTATTTTCCTACCTGTGATTGGCAGAGTGTTAAGGGGGCGTTGTTGTTGTTGTTCCTGCTAGCCTGGGAGAGTGTGTGTTAGCCTCAGGACAGAGTTTGAAGACAGGAGAAGTTACATGTGTAGCTCTCTGCTGAGCCAGGTTTGTTTTGAGTACGCTGCGGCTCACGGTAGGCTGTGAGCCGCAGTAAGACTGAGCGAAAGCGACTGTCGTCTCGTAGCGTTTCATTGAGGGACACTACATTTGGTACTGCAGTGAATAGTGGCGCCTCTTAAGTCTTCTTACGTTGTAATTCGGTGTAGTAGGAACTGGTTCCATATTGGCACCGGGTTTTGGTACCCAGCCCTACTCATTAGGGCTGAACGATTTTGGAAAATATGTAATTGCGATTTTTTTTATTTTTTTTTTTTTTTTTTTTTAACCAATATTGCGATTGCGTTTAATATGCAATAAATTTTTAACCTCTTTACCTTCTGTATTATTCAAAATGGACAAGCAGTAAATCAGTGTATGGTATGACCAACACAATATTTGCTAGATTAAACATACACTGTTCTTTCTTGTGGGTCAGGCCTGTGTTGATGAATGATGAATTAGGTAGAATTATTATGAGCAATGGTGATGTATCAAATTATATAATGGAAAGATCTATAATATATAATATCAGGTCGGCCTACCTACAGACCACAAGAAAAACACCGTTCACCACAGTGTATTATACAGTAAGCGCTCAATACGAAACCCACAGTTCAACCACCAATTATGTCCTTATCTCAGTTCAAATATCCTAGTCCATCGTTCTGTATCCCAGTAAGCAAACAAAAATGTTCAGTTTGAGGATCAATTCAAAAGTTGGCCACAATCTTACCTTACACACTGTCTTTCTGTTGGACATTTTTCCTGTCCGTCAAAGCCGCAACAAGGCAAGGTACAGCGTAACGTGCAGACGAAGCATCAACTTCGTCAGACTACTTTCCTCTTGAGTGTAATCGCAGCCTTTGTGATTAGAAATCTTGTTATTACATTGCGATAATATCGCAAATGCAATTAATCATTCAGCCCTACTACTCATTAAGGTCCAGTATGCAAGTTTTAGTGACATCTAGTGGGAAGTTGCAAATTTTTTTGAAATGCAACAGAAACACAAGTAGTACTGACAGCCATAATTTCAGCT